TTGGCACAGGCTGCCCAGGGAGGTGGTGGAGTCCCCATCCCTGGAGGTGTTAAAAAAATGTGTAGATGTGGCACTTCAGGATATGGTTTAGTAGGTGGGGTGGTGGTGGGTGGATGGTCTTTTCCAACCCATGATTCTATGATTTTCCAGGCCTTGCCACCAGTGGCCACTGTAGCATACATGGCTGCCATAGCTGTCTCCTAGAAGAGGACGCTGTATTTGCTATCTCTGGTGTTTTTATTCAGAACAAGAGTCAGAGAAATACAAGAGGTGTTAAAATGAGAGATAAATGAAATTTATCACGTGGGCTTCAAAGACTTTATCATGTGGTAAAAAGACTTAAATTGTTTCAGGGAAGTAAAAAACATTTTATTGCTGCAGTGCTTTCTAAATACATTTGATTAGAGGTCTTTAAGAAATAGCTCATTTCAATGCGCATGTAATTACTAAATTTATTTGTCTACTTGTTATCAGGGGCACCTCAACGTTAAGAAAGTGTTAAGAATAATTTTCTTGACAAAATTCTGATCTTCACCATCAACCATCAGTGCACAAGTGATATACACCTCTCAGTGGGAAAGATTTGCACCTGGCTTTAAAAAAGAACCAAAAATTAGTATAGAAGAGCTTTTTGTTTTTAAACAAACAAACAAGAAATACTCAACTGCACAGAAATTACATGTTGTCACAAAAAAATCAGAAAATATAGTTTTGTTCTATATGGAACTGAACAATATACTGGAGAATTCTAAACAAAGGATTTCAAATAAAAGCACAGGCGCTGAAGTAATGAGAACAGAATTGCTCAGCAATACCAAACTGAAATGCTGATCTTGTCTTGAAAACAAAGTTCAGCTACACATCCTGCGATCCCATCTGTATAAAGCAGCAGATGCTTCTAAAGATGTGTACATGGATGATGAAACTGCATTTCACTTAACAACCTTTTTATTTTCAAAATAGCGCATAAACAAATAAGGTAACTCTTAGTAATTCAAGTAAGCTGCACTGTTAATCCTCATGTAGAGAGATGCTGTATTTAAACCTTTCATCACAGCAATAAAATTCTTTCTTCATTCTAGCCAAGAAAATAGTATTCCAGGGCTGCTAAGCAAAGAAGGGATTAATACTGGCAGAAGTGGTCTTTGTAGAGAGCCCTAGGAGCGGATGGAAGTCCCGAAACTCAGAATTCAAAACATGTTGAGAGCTTGCAAAAATGAATTGTAGTTTCAAACAAATTTGCCAAGCAACACTGTCTCTTCATTTAGCACAAAATTACAATACTTACAATCCTTCAAAACAATGATGCCTATTCAGTTATTTTCCATGCGTTTCTCTCTCCAGTGCTGCTTCCATTCGACTTCGTTTTAAACCCTACAGAACACAATTTAGTAAAATCCTGTTTTTACTAACATGGAAATAAAAGCATTAGTCGCAGAACAAAACCATTTCTGGACAATTTTTTTTCAGTCTTGTACAAATAAAAAATAGAATTTAACACTTTGGGGAAATCAGAATGGGCAGTTTAAAAAGAACAAAAGCCAAACCACATGTCTTCTTTATAATCAGGGCTCTACAGAATAATTTCACATACATATTTCTTGTTCAATTAGAAGTAAAGCAATTATATATAATCTGAAGCAAGAAATCCCAAAATTAGTCTCTTGAAGATCATAGCATAGTTTGAGTTGGAAGGGACCTTCAGAGGTCGTCTAGTCCAACCTCCCTACGGTGAGCAGGGACATCTTCCACTAGACCAGGTTGCTCAGAGCAACCTTGAATGTTTCCAGGGATGGGGCATCCACCACCACTATGGGCAACCTGTGCCAGTGGTTCACCACCCTCAGTGTAATACATTTCTTCCTTATATCCAGCCTAAACCTATCCTCCTTCCGTTAAAAACCATTGCCATTTGTCCTGTCACTAGAAGCCCTGATAAAGTCTCTCTCCATCTTTCTTATAAGCCTCCTTTACGTATTGAATGGCTGCACCAGGGTCTCTCCAGACCCTTCTCTTCTGCAGGCTGAACAGCCTCAACTCTCTCAGCCTTTCCTCAAGGAGAGGGGTTTCAGCCCTTGCATCATTTTTGTGGCCTCCGCTGGATCCGGTCCAACAGCTCCATGTCCTTCTTGTGCTGAGGGCTCCAGAGCTGGACGCAGGACTCCACGTTGGGTCTCACCAGAGTGGAGCAGAGGGGCAGAATCCCCTACCTCAACCTCACGGCCACGCTGCTTTTGATGCAGCCCACGATAGGGTTGGCCTTCTGGACTGCGAACACATATTGGTGGCTCATGTCCAGCTTTTTATCCACCAGTACCCTCAAGTCCTTCTCCTCAGAGCTGCTCTCAATTTGTTCCTCTCCCAGTCTGTATTGATACCAGGGGTTCCCCTGACCCATATGCAGGACCCTGCCCTTGGCCTTGTTGAACTTCAGGATGTTCACAGGGGCCCACTCCCCAAGGTTGTCAAGGTCCTTCCAGATGACATCCCTTCCCTCTAGGAAATCAACCGCACCACTCAGCTTGGTGTCATCTGCCAGCTTGCTGATGGTGCACTCAATCATACTGTCTGTGTCATTGATGAAGATATTAAACAGTACTGGTCACCACTCATTGCTGATCTCCATCCAGACATTGGGCCATTGACCAGTACCCTCTGGATCCAACCAACTCCTCATCCACTGAACAGTCCACCCATCACATCCATATGACTCCCAATTTAGAGAGAAGGATGTTGTGGGGTACCATGTCAAAGACCTTACAGAAATCCAGGTAGACGACATCTGTAGCTCTTTCCTTGTCTGTTGATGTAGTCACCCCACCATAGAAGGCCACTAGGTTAGTCAGGCAGGACTTGCCCTTGGTGAAGCCATGCTGTCTCAAATCACCTCCCTGTCCTCCAGGTGCCTTAGCATAGCTTCTCAGAGGATCTGTTCCATGATCTTCCCAGGCACAGAGGTGAGGCTGACCCCAGGGTCCTCCTTTCTACCCTTTTTAAAAATGACCATACTGTTTCCCTTCTTCTAGTCTCTGGGGACTTCACCTGACTGCCATGACCTTTTAAATATCACAGAGAGTAGCCTGGCAACTACACCAGCCGATTCCCTCAGGACTCTGGGATGCATCTCATCAGCTCCCACAGACTTATGTATGTGCAGGTTCCTCAGGTGGTCATGAACCCAATCTTCTCAGAGTGGGAACGACTTCGCTGCCCCAGTCCCCATCTTGCAGTCCATCCACTCGAGAGGTGTGGGAAGAGAGGTTGCCAGTGAACATCAAGGCAAAAGGTTGTTGAGTACCTCAGCTTTCTCCTTTTCTGTTGCTACCAGTTTGCCAGTGCTGCTCATCATGGGGGGTACATTTTCTTTGACCTTCCTCTTCTGGCTAACATACCTGTAGAAGCCCTTCTTATTATTCTTTACATTCCTTGCCAAATTCAGCTCCAGCTGCTCTTTGGCCTTCCTGACACCCTCCCTGCACAACTGGGCAGCGTCCCTATACTCTTCCTGGGATACTGGTCCCTGCTTCCACTGCCTGTGCAATTCCCTCTTTAGTTTGACCAGCAGGCCTTGACTCAGCCATGCTGGTCTCTTGCCTTCCTTGCCTGATTTCTTACACCTGGAGTCCGAGAGCTCCTGCGCTCTATGGAAAGTGTCCTTAAAGATCTGCCAGCTCTGTTCTGCTCCCTTGTCCCCAAGGGCAGTTTCCCAGAGGGTCCAACTGACCAACTCCTTGAAGAGCTGGAATTTGGTTTTCCTAAAATTCCTCAATTTACTCTTCACGGAACCCCCATCTCTCAGAACTGCAAACTCCACCAGTGCATGATCACTGCATACGCTGTGGCACCAACTCCCCCCGCCCCCAACTTTCCCAGTGCAAAGAATTTAATTCCTCCTGTAATTCTCCTTCTTCATAAGTGTACAGAGGAAAACAGAAGTCAATATGCTATCTCAGAGATTTTTCACAGCCATGCTGACAGCACCTGCTGGACCTTCACAATCACCTGAAACAATTACTGATAAATAGTCTCTACAAAAATGTCCTAAATGTGATACTACCACTCATACTCAAAGAAAATACATACAAGACTAATGGGTAATAAATATATTCAGATTTACTCCACCTGTCTACAAAGACAGAACTAGTTGTTTCAGAATGGCTATAAAACACTGGCTATAAAAGTACCTAATGGGTCCCCTCCAGTGGAACAAAGAACTAAATAAACATCGACTATACATATATGCCGGCTCTTGTGACTCCTACTCAAGCACAAGAATACCTCTACAATACAAAATACCCTAAAATTTAGCTATAATAAATTAGGGCAAGAGATCTAAAAAGCAGCTGTCCCTGCCTAACATCTCACTGAGAAGAGTGGCAGCAACACAAAAGCAGAATTACAAAGACACTTCAAGACAAAAATGGCACGTACCAGGTAATACCCAGTGTGATAACCACTCATGTACCAGGCTATCAACATGCTCCCCAATGCTTCATCGTCCTCAGGAGAGTCCGGCCTCATAGGTGGTGGAGGAGGAATCAACTGAAAAACCACAAAGGAAAGGTCTGTGTTTCAGCAGGGTATATCCCAGGTTAGATAGCAAGCAAGTCTAAAAGATCAAAATATAAAACTGAAAAATAGGAACACAGCCTGGATGCATTCTCTGAAAAGGAGTCAAATAAGACAGTATTTTCTGAAAATGTGTAAATTCCAAAGGCTGGGAGAAAAAGGATTCCTGTAGCTTGGCTACACGCAGAAAGTTATATTAGGGGAAAATATTTATCTGCATCAGTGAAATGCTGTTAATCAAATGTAAGGTGTAGTTTCTTTAAATAATTTCTATCTTTACATTCTTACCAACAGCTTCGCCATCAAAAAAATGAGTGCAGATCAGATCTTGTGCATTAGATTATTGTAAGACTTGTAACCAAATGCATTATCAAATACCTGGAAAATATAGACTCCAACACAGAATGTGCTCTAAAAACACAGGCAGTGAGCATATTCAGTTAGAAAACTTGAGATCACCACCATTTATCTCTGACACTTTCTTTCTCATTCTCCTATCACTTACTGGTGGTCCTGCTGGGAAGGGCGGGGGCCAGCAAGATAAAAACGATGGAGATGCCCTGAATTTTGATCCAGCCTACATCAAAAAAAATTGAAGAGTGCAAATTACAACCAAATTTCAGGCATTAGGATTTTATTTAAGAGAATTATTTGAAGAAATTCACAAACCTTAAACTAAAGACAAAACATCCCAGCAATTTAATGAAACTGCAATAACAACACCCAGTAGCTATTTCTGTGGAGCATTCCATGGCTGGAAAAGTAAAACTTAAATTACACATCACTGAAGTAAACAGTGCTGAAACAGGGTTCTAGTTAGTACAAGCAGTTTAAAGAGCTTTTTTCTAAATAGAAGTCAGTGGTTTTACTCTCACACGAATAAACACATCTAATATTGCCCACAGGCAAACGGATGATTTCTCTGCTCCTGCGTGGCTGGGGGCACAGGCTGACTAAATTTCATTATGCTTGTGAATGTCTCTAAAGTGAGCTTTCATACAAATCCACTGATATGAAAGTAAAATCTTATAAAGAAACCATGGACAAAGAGTAATATTTAGAAAACACAATGCTGTGTTCAGCTGCACCATTATTTAGACTTCTATACAACAGGAAAACTGAAAAGCGTATCAACACCCCAGCACTCATAATTCAATAGAGAAGCTATAGCTGGGAGCTTCTATGACATCTGGACACCGCTTTTCCTGCCTTCAGTGTTCTGTGTAGCAACACGTATGGATTGGCTAGAAAAAATGCAATCTTAAAACATCAATAGTGCTACCCCTTTTCACATCTTTACCAATTATCTGGATGAGAGGATCGAGTGCCCCCTCAGTAAGTTTGCAAATGACAGCAAGCTGGGTGGAAATGTTGATCCGCTTTAGGGTAGGAAGGCTCTGCAGAAGGATCTGGGCAGGCTGGATCAATGGGCCAAGGCCAACTGTATGAGGTTCAACAAGGTCAAATGCCAGGTCCTGCACTTCAGTCACAACCACCCCATGCAATGCTACAGGCTTGGGGAGGAGTGGCTGGAAAGCTGCCTGGTGGAAAATGACCTTGGGGTGCTGGTTGACAGCCGGCTGAACATGAGCCAGCAGTGTGCCCAGGTGGCCAAGAAGGACAACAGAATCCTGGCTTGTATCAGGCATACGTTGGCCAAGGTGATCATGCCCCTGTACTGGGCACTGGTGAGACTGCACCATGAGTACTGTGTTCAGTTTTGGGCCCCTCACTACAAGCAGGACAGTGAGGTGCTGGAGCATGTCCAGGGAAGGGCAGCAAGGCTGAAGAAGGGGCTGGAGAACAAGTCTTACGAGGAGCAGCTGAGGAGCTGGGGTTGAGTCTGGAGAAGAGGAGGCTGAGGGGGGACCTTATTGCTCTCTACAACTACCTGAAAGGAGGTTGTAGTGAGGTAGGTGTTGGTCTCTTCTCACAGGTAACTTGCAGTAGGACAAGAGGCAACGGCCTCAAGTTGTGTCAGGGGAGATTTCAATTGGATATTAGGAAAAATTTCTTTACTGAAAGAGTGGTCAGGCATTGGAACAGGCTGCCCAGGGGCGTAGTGGAGTCCCCATCCCTGGCGGTGTTCAAAAAAAGTGTAGATGAGGCACTTCAGGATATGGTTTAGCAGGCATCGTGGTGTTGGGTGGATGGTTGGACTTGATGATCTTAGAAGTCTTTTCCAAACTATGATTCTATGATGATCACTAACAGCACTATCACAGTCCAAGGAACAACATCCCTCTTAAGTTACATGGCAATTGCAAACCCGGAGTCAGCTAGCGAGAAGACTTTCCTCCCTAGGCGGCAGCACAGCAAAAGGGCTGCACTGTGGCCAGATTATTATAAAGCAACATGCCAACAGGCTCTAACATGCACGTCTGTATATCCATTCTCAAAACACTGTTACTACGTTTCTAGACAACGATAAATATCCTATTGTCTCAGGATTCAGACACTAGGCTTAACAGTGGTATATTAATTATTTGATATAAGGTTGAGCTTACCCCTCCCAGGCCTGCAGCTGGTGGTGGGGTGGGAAAACGTAGGTTTTGAGGGGATAATCTTGCTTTTGTGCAGTTGTTCTTGTTTCGAGGTGACTGGGAAGATTTTTCGCTTTCATCTGTTGAATATGGAGTCTCGTTTTCATTCTAGAAGAGCAAGATGTTTTTATGAGATGCACTGCACAGGAGTTTACAGCAAGCAATTTTAGCATGAAAAAGCCTGGAAAGGCCCACCTACATCCTTCCCTCTCTTTAGCCCTCCCAGTCCTAGCCAGGAAAGATCTTATAACCTAATCATCTTACCTGCTCATCTTTTTAGCTACATTATCTTTCACTCATGAATATCTTGTTGTCCCCTCCCTTTCCTCCATGCTAAGTTCAATAAGTAAAGTGACACTTTCACTTCCCCCCATCACCTTGCATCTGTTCACAATGGAATCGGGTATCGATTCTCACTCTGAACACCACAGTGTTATCAGAAATACTGAAAAAGTTGATTCTCCCACTTTCCCTTTCCTTTTCAGAAGAATGAAAAAGTGTCCCTCACCTCCCCAGAATTCCCCATCCCATTTACTGTTTCGTCACCGGCTGCAGGAAGTATATCAGACAGGCTCTGCTCCTCCTGATTTCCATATCCTGTGTAAGTAACAACACACGTGCCCCTCTTCTGATTGATGGAGGCAATAGTTGCTAGGTACATATTACCATCCTCAGACCAAGTGGCATTACAGCTGTCACCAACTTTCCACTGCAACAGAAGCAAGAGAGACCAGTAAGCATCTACACCAATGAACAGAGCGAAAGATGCCTTTTTCTAAACTGCTTTTAGTCCCAGACACAAGAAAGATGACTCTCACCCAGAAAGTTTTTCCTTTGAGCATGGTAAAATTGCTCAACGTAACCTATAAACAAGGTTTATAATGTAATCACATCCCCCCCCACCCCAGAATGTTGCTCTCAAGGCAATAAAAAAGCCACTTTCGAGCACCACAGAGAAGCGCAACACGCGGTACGAGCATCACTAGCGTTTACAGGCGAGGCGACCTGTCTCACAGGCAGCGCGTTGCTCTTCTTCCTATTCCTGTTCTTCTTACGCGTTTTCCTCTTCATCCCCAGCTGCTGCTCCTGTTTGTCCGAAGGCTCCGAACACTCTCCATTCCTTAAAGCGTTCTTCAGGAAAACAAAGGAGAAAAACAACACTCGAAGGCAAACCAGCGGCCCGGCCCAGGGTCCCGCCGCGCCCGGGGCC